ACGGGGCGGGGGCGTCGCGGGGCCTGTGGGACGGGGCGGGGGCGTCGCGGGGCCTGTGGCACGGGGCGGGGGCGTCGCGGGGCCTGTGGGACGGGGCGGGGGCGTCGCGGGGCCTGTGGGACGGGGCGGGGGCGTCGCGGGGCCTGTGGGACGGGGCGGGGGCGTCGCGGGGCCTGTGGGACGGGGCGGGGGCGTCGCGGGGGCCTGTGGGACGGGGCGGGGGCGTCGCGGGGGCCTGTGGGACGGGGCGGGGGCGTTGCAGGGGCCTGTGGGATGGGGCGGGTGCGTTGCGGGGCCTGTGGGATGGGGCGGGGGCGTCGCAGGGGCCTGTGACACGGGGCGGGGGCGTCGCGGGGGCCTGTGGGACGGGGCGGGGGCGTCGCAGGGGCCTGTGCGACGGGGCGGGGGCGTCGCAGGGGCCTGTGGGACGGGGCGGGGGCGTCGCGGGGCCTGTGGGACGGGGCGGGGGCGTCGCAGGGGCCTGTGCGACGGGGCGGGGGCGTCGCAGGGGCCTGTGCGACGGGGGCCTACGGGGGCGTCGCGGGGGCCTGTGCGCGGGGCGGGGGCGTCGCAGGGGCCTGTGGGACGGGGCGGGGGCGTCGCGGGGGCCTGTGGGACGGGGCGGGGGCGTCGCGGGGGCCTGTGGGACGGGGCGGGGGCGTCGCAGGGGCCTGTGGGACGGGGCGGGGGCGTCGCAGGGGCCTGTGGGACGGGGCGGGGGCGTCGCAGGGGCCTGTGGGACGGGGGCGTGTGGGGCCTGTGGGACGGGGCGGGGCGTCGCAGGGGCCTGTGGGACGGGGCGGGGGCGTCGCAGGGGCCTGTGGGACGGGGCGGGGGCGTCGCGGGGCCTGTGGGACGGGGCGGGGGCGTCGCGGGGCCTGTGGGACGGGGCGGGGGCGTCGTAGGGGCCTGTGGGATGGGGCGGGGGCGTCGCGAGGGGCCTGTGGGACGGGGCGGGGGCGCGTCGCAGGGGCCTGTGGGACGGGGCGGGGGCGTCGGGGGGCCTGTGGGACGGGGCGGGGGCGTCGCAGGGGCCTGTGGGACGGGGCGGGGGCGTCGCGGGGGCCTGTGGGACGGGGCGGGGGCGTCGCGGGGGCCTGTGGGACGGGGCGGGGGCGTCGCAGGGGCCTGTGGGACGGGGCGGGCGGGGCGTCGCGGGCGGCCTGTGGGACGGGGCGGGGCGTCGCGGGCCTGTGGGACGGGGCGGGGGCGGACGGGGCGGGGGCGTCGCAGGGGCCTGTGGGACGGGGCGGGGGCGTTGCGGGGCCTGTGGGACGGGGCAGGGGCGTCGTAGGGGCCTGTGGGATGGGGCGGGGGCGTCGCGGGGGCCTGTGGGACGGGGCGGGGGCGTCGCGGGGCCTGTGGGACGGGGCGGGGGCGTCGCAGGGGCCTGTGGGACGGGGCGGGGGCGTCGTAGGGGCCTGTGGGACGGGGCGGGGGCGTCGCGGGGCCTGTGACACGGGGCGGGGGCGTCGCGGGGGCCTGTGGGACGGGACGGGGGCGTCACGGGGCCTGTGGGACGGGACGGGGGCGTCTCAGGGGCCTGTGGGACGGGGCGGGGGCGTTGTGGGGCCTGTGACACGGGGCGGGGGCGTCGCAGGGGCCTGTGGGACGGGGCGGGGGCCTCGCAGGGGCTTGTGACACGGGGCGGGGGCGTCGCGGGGCCTGTGGGACGGGGAGGGGGCGTCGCAGGGGCCTGTGGGACGGGGCGGGGGCGTTGCGGGGCCTGTGGGACGGGGGCGGGGGCGTTGCAGGGGCCTGTGGGACGGGGCGGGGGCGTCGCGGGGCCTGTGACACGGGGCGGGGGCGTCGCAGGGGCCTGTGGGACGGGGCGGGGGCATCGCGGGGCCTGTGGGACGGGGCGGGGGCGTCGCAGGGGCCTGTGACACGGGGCGGGGGCGTCGCAGGGGCCTGTGGGACGGGGCGGGGGCGTCGCACGGGGCGGGGGCGTCGCAGGGGCCTGTGGGACGGGGCGGGGGCGTCGCGGGGCCTGTGGGACGGGGAGGGGGCATCGCGGGGCCTGTGGGACGGGGCGGGGGCGTCGCAGGGGCCTGTGGGACGGGGCGGGGGCGTCGCAGGGGCCTGTGGGACGGGGCGGGGGCGTCGCGGGGCCTGTGGCACGGGGCGGGGGCGTCGCAGGGGCCTGTGGGACGGGGCGGGGGCGTCGCAGGGGCCTGTGGGACGGGGCGGGGGCATTGCGGGGCCTGTGACATGGGGTGGGGGCGTTGCAGGGGCGTGTATGTTATGGTCATAAGAAACACACGGGATCTTTTTCAGGGGAAAAGGCAATACACCGCGTTTATTGAAAATACGATAGCACACGCATTCAGTCACACACACACACACACACACACACACATGTGTCCTGCAGATGGTCCTATAGTCACCAGTCATGATCCGAGGCTTTACAGGACTGAACCCAGAGTCTCATGGCAAAGCACCCCAGCTTTACGCTTGTAAGTTCCCATTTGAGTCTGTGGATTTTGCAATGTCATTTTGTAATCGTTAGTCCTTAAATGGGGTTAATCTTGGGGTTTTCCGCTTTTCTCTCTTCTTTGTTGTCTCATCTTTGGTGGTGTTTGCCTCACCTCTGAGGTTGTTTATGCTGCTATCTTGTTTAGCTTCAGATACAATGGATGTTTTCTGATTGTTTCTCCAAGTCTCTCACTTCTTCTTGACCATCCGGACATTTGTGATGGCTTTCACACTCCTTAACCATGCACACATCCTTTACTTATACCAAACAATTTTACAGAGAATTTCAAACAGGATAACATTTTAGAAAGGGTGATATGGTTACTAAAGGGATTACAAAAGACCCGTACACAACTTCGTTTGCAATGCAGATAAGAAACAAGACCTTATAGCAAATACTGCAATGAAAACTTCTCCTAAAACAAAAGGTGACTGTAATCAGCCACAAGGACTGTTCTGGTCTGTTCCTGCCTTAACATCAGTTCAGACACAGGCAGCCTGTCTGATGTGTTTTTACCAATGGCCCCTTAGGCCATTCCTTTCTGGTATTCAAATAGGGTGGCTGACAGGGTATGGTTAAATCATACAGCAATAAGTTTAATTAATGCTACATTATTATTCTTAATCATTCATTCTAAATTATATAAAATACAAACATAAAATCCTACTGCTACATGTAGCTCACAGCGGGGCTGTCGCAGGGGCCTGTAGCACAGCGCGGGGCTGCGGGGGGCTGTGCCCAGGGCCCCGGGAGCTGGGGAGGGCTGTGCCCATGGCCCCGGGGGCTGCAGGGGGCTGTGCCCATGGCCCCGGGGGCTGGGAGGGGCTGTGCCCATGGCCCCGGGGGCTGCAGGGGGCTGTGCCCATGGCCCTGGGGGCTGCAGGGGGCTGTGCCCATGGCCCTGGGGGCTGGGGGTGCTGTGCCCATGGCCCTGGGGGCTGGGGGGGCTGTGCCCATGGCCCCGGGAGCTGGGGGGGACTGTGCCCATGGCCCTGGGAGCTGGAGGGGGGGCTGTGCCCATGGCCCCGGGAGCTGGGGGGGGCTGTGCCCAGGGCCCCGGGAGCTGGAGGGGGGCTGTGCCCAGGGCCCCAGGGGCTGGGAGGGCTGTGCCCATGGCCCTGGGGGCTGGGGGTGCTGTGCCCATGGCCCCGGGGGCTGGGAGGGGCTGTGCCCATGGCCCCGGGAGCTGGGGGGGCTGTGCCCATGGCCCTGAGGGTTGGGGGGGGGGGCTGTGCCCATGGCCCCGGGGGCTGAGAGGGCTGTGCCCATGGCCCCGGGGACTGGGAGGGCTGTGCCCATGGCCCCAGGGGCTGGGAGGGCTGTGCCCGTGGCCCCGGGAGCTGGGGGGGGCTGTGCCCAGGGCCCTGGGAGCTGGAGGGGGGGCTGTGCCCATGGCCCTGGGGGCTGGGAGGGCTGTGCCCATGGCCCCAGGGGCTGGGAGGGCTGTGCCCATGGCTCCGAGCTGGGGGGCGGCTCACTCTGGCCTGTGATTTGCCCCTTAGTGAAGCTGTCGTGTTGCCAGTGGCTCCTCAGCTTGCAGCTGGGCCCTGGGCTGGGACCTAGGGGTTGCAAGGCCTCCGGCCACGTGGCCCAGGGCTGTGAGCACCGCGGGCATCCCTGCAGCTCGGGCCAGCTGCCTGCCCTCCGGCCCGGCCTGCGCTGTGAGCCAGGCCCCTCAGCACAGGTCAGAGGCAGAAACCCCTGGGTCTCAGGCCCCCCTCGGCCTCTGCTTCACGCAGGGCCTGGAGATGCCCCAAGTGCGTCGGATCCTGGCAGCAGGGAGAGCAGCTCCGGACCCCTGCTCCCTCCCCCTCCTGCCTCCTTCCCCTCCAGGCCCCCTCACTCTCCTGCCCCCGCCACCCCACTCCTACCCCCCTGCCCCACTTTCCTCCCTCTGCCAAAGTTGGCAGCTGCAGGCTGTGGGGCAGGGCTCAGGTGGGGTGGGCACAGGCTGGGGGCTCCCGGCTTGCAGTGCGAATTGAGCCTGTGCCCCTGCCTGCCCCCACGGCTGCACCGGCGTGCGCTGGCTGGGGACCCCGCTCCCACTCGCTGCCCTGCTGCGTTTCTCTTGGCGCCTGCTCTGTCTTTCAGGGCCTTGGGGCCAAGACAAACCTGGCTGGAGCCTCCACCCTGCGCGCAGCCAGTCCCTCTGTTTTCCTTTGCTCACTGCCTCTGCCCTCCTGCCGCCCGGCCTGGCCAGTGCCCACCTCTCCCCCTGCCTGGGAGCGCAGCCGTGGGGCCAGAGACCTTGCCCCACACAGCACGGCTGTCCCTCCGTGGGGGAGAGTGAGGGGGAGCCACAGCACATGGGGTCCCATCCGCATGCGCCCAGAGTGCGGCCTCCTCTGGGGTGGGGCCCAGGGCGGTGGGGATGTCTGGGATCCTCTGGGTTGTGAGTGTGGCTCCCGGAAGCCCCCTCTTCAGAGCTGGGGCTGGAGCTGCGGGGAGGGGGAAGCCAGGCCAAGGCCCTGACTGGCATGGCTGTATGTGACCCAGGCCCCTCCTCTGCTCTTCCCCTGCCCAGGTGATGCTGCCCCGCCATCGCCTTCTGAGCCCGAGTGAGAAAGAGAAAGGTTAACGGGGCCAGGCACCAGCTACTCGGCCTGCGCCATGAGCCGCTCCCAGGTTTCCTCCGGGATTCACCACATCGTCTCCTCTGCCTTCGAGAGCGTAAGTAGGAGGTGTGGACGGCTGGATCTACCCCGGGACCACTGGGCAGAGGCAGCGGCCAAGCCGTGGGGCCCAAGTGCAAAGCCTGGAGCTGCCCCGGGACTAGAGGGCAGAGCCAGCGGCCGAGCTGTGGGGTCCACGTGCAAAGCCTGGAGCTCCTGGAGCTGCCCGGGACCAGAGGGCAGAGCCGGCGGCTGAACTGTGGGACCCATGTGCAGAGCCTCGGGATCCTGGAGCGGTGCTGGGACGCTCGGGGCTGCCCCCATGTGAGCAGCTGCCATCCAGTGTTTTGCTGGTGACTGGGCCCAGCAAGCTCGGCCCAGGGACCTGTATCCTCTGGCCCTGCTGGCAGGGTCACCCGATGCCCTGTGGAGGGCTGAGGATCAGCCCCAGAGAGGGTCCCTGTCACGAACCCACAGGCTCGGGGCTGCGCCCCCCAGCTTTGGAACTGTCTCTGGGAGGCCTCTTCACTGTGCCAGCCTCCCTGGGGGTCCCACTCTTTCAGGGTGAGCCGCGCTGTCTCACTGCCCCCTAGACTGGCCCTCTGGGCCTGCAGCTCCCCGCACGCCTCCGCGAGCTCCGGGCAGTGAGTCCCCCGGAGACAGCCCCTGAGGGAGACTCGGCCGCTCTGCAGGGATCAGGGCCCCTCGCCCAGCCCCTGGAGGGACCCTCCCAGCGCGGGCACAGCTGGGTTCAGTTGTTAGCTGGGGCCTGGTGTAGGGGGCCTTTAGGGCAGCCTGGGGCAATGAAGGGTGAAGCAGGGCCCGTCCTGGCCAGCCCCGAGCCCAGCCCGGCTGTGGGGAACCCTCGGGTCTGGCTCTGTCTATCTGGGCGGCCTCCTTGGTCAGACTCTAGGTGGGAGCCCTGACTCCTTCCAGCCTCCGACTCTTGTCCCCACCTTCTCGCTCCCAGCCCCGAGTTCTCCAGTGGGGATCCTTGTTCCGCTCCCCCCTGCGGGGGCGAGGTCCATCCCCCTTGGGGCCATGGGCTCCTGGGTGTCCCTATCCGGGTGCTTGGATTTGCCGTTCTCATGCTTCACTGAGATGGGGACTGGGCCCATCCAGGGGACACCCGCCCCTGTGTCTTTAGCCGGCCCTGAGAACAGACAGGCCCCTGAGAGCAGACTCTGCCCCGGCCTGGCACTGGGGGGGGCTGTGCTGGGGGGGCAGCCCCGGCCTGGGACTGGGGGGGGCTGTGCTGGGGACAGGGTGGCAGGGCTGGGGCGCTGTGCCGGGGGGTTACATGCCGTGTTTCACCCTGGGCGGCGGTGGGCTCGGTTCAGCGTTTGCCTGGAGCCCCCCCCGGCGTTGATGGGGCCCCGCTCTGGCTCGTGGCTCTGTCGCTCTGTCGCTCGCCGCACCCAAGCCCGGCCACCCCGGCGCCTGCCCCGCACGGAAGCTGGTTGCCGGGTTATCGCCTCGGCGCATCTGCAGGTAGCGGGTTAATGATTCACCCTGGGAGCCCAGCCAGTGGGTGCCTGGCCCGGGCCGTTGGGCCAGCTCCCCATTGCTGAGGCAACAGCCGGCACGTGATGCGGGATGGGGCCTGCCGCGCGCCCTCCTGCCCCTCCGGCCGCCTCTGGGCGAGTCCTGCTGCCATGGACTTTCTGCTGGGCTGCCAGGTAGGACGCACCTGCTCCCTGGGCCTGGGAGAGGAGCTGCCACGCCTGGCAGCTTCCTCCTGCAGCTCCTGGCGCACACCGTGCTGTGGGGGCTGCTGGGGGAGCCCCAGGGCAGGGCTGTGCCCACAGGGTCTCCCTACACCTCTGTTCCCCTCTCCAGAGACCGGCCAGAGCCAGCAGCACAGAGCGTGTCTGGCCCCCTTCACGCTGGCTGGGGGCTGTTCTGGGCTGGGCGAGCCGATGGCAGGGCCTGGCTGGGCTTATGGATGGGGCAGTGAGACAGGGAGGAGAAGGTGGAGGAGCTGGGGTGTGGGGCTATGGGAAGAGGTGGGACAGCAAGGGAGGATGTGGGGCACAATAGTGGGGCTCAGGCGGGGCTGGGCAGTAAGGATGTGGGGCAGGGCAGTGTGGTGGGCTGGGCAGTGAGAATGTGGGGCGAGGCAGTGAGGCAGGCAGTGGGGTGGGCAGAGGAGTGAGGATGTGGAGCAGGCAGTGGGGTGGACTGGGCAGTGAGGATGTGGGGAAGAGCAGTGAGCTGGGCTGGGTAGTGAGGATGTGGAGCAGGACAATAAGGATGTGGGGCAGGCAGTGGGGTGGGCTGGGCAGTTGTAATATGGGGCAGGTAGTGGGGTGGGCAGGACAGTGAGGATGTGGGGCAGGCAGTCGGGTGGGCTGGGTAGTCCAGATGGGGAGCAGGCAGTGGGGCTGGGGGCTGGGCTGGACAGTAAGGATGTGGGGCAGGCAGTGGGGTGGCCTGGGCAGTGAGGATGTGGGGCAGGCAGTGGGGTGGGCTGGACAGTGAGGATGTGGGGCAGGGCAGTGGGGCTGGGAGCTGGGCTAGGCAGTGAGGATGTGGGGCAGGGCAGTGGGGCTGGGAGCTGGGCTAGGCAGTGAAGATGTGGGGCAGGCAGTGGGGTGGGCAGGGCAGTGAGGATGTGGGGCAGGCAGTGGGGCTGGGGGAGGTTGGGGTTGCGGTGGGGACGGGGTCACTGAGTGTTGCAGCTGGTTCAGGACAGCAGGGGTTGTTCCGGGTCACGGCGGGGGTTGGATGGGGAGAGGTCGGGGGTCACGGCAGGGATGGGGTGGGGATGTCAGGGGTCACGGTGGGGGTGGGATGGAGAGGTCTGGGGTCGAAGTGGGGTGGGGCAGGGAGGTCTGAGGATGCGGTGGGGGTGGGTTGGGGAGAGGTCAGGGGTCACGGCAGGGGTGGGGGGGATGTCTGGGGTCACAGTGGGGTGGGTTGGGGAGAGGTTGGTGTCACGGCGGGGATGGGGTGGAGATGTCGGGGGTCGCAGTGGGGCGGGGCAGGGAGTTCTGGGGACACAGCAGGGGTGGGTTGGGGAGAGGTCGGGTGTCATGGTGGGGATGGGGTAGGGATGTCTGGGGTCGCAGTGGGGTGGGGCAGGGAGGTCTGGGGACATGGTGGGGTGGGGTGGGGATGGCAGGGAGGGAGGGGTGAATGTGGGGTGGCAGGGTGGGGAGGCAGGAGGGGTCACAGTGGGGTGGGGCAGGGAGGTCTGGGGATGTGGTGAGGGTGGGTTGGGGAGAGGTCAGGAGTCACGGCGGGGTTGGGGGGGATGTCTGGGGTCACAGTGGGGTGGGTTGGGGAGAGGTTGGGGAGAGGTTGGGGTCACGGCCGGGATGGGGCGGAGATGTCGGGGGTCGCAGTGGGGTGGGGCAGGGAGTTCTGGGGACACAGCTGGGGTGGGTTGGGGAGAGATCGGGGGTCATGGTGGGGATGGGGTAGGGATGTTGGGGGTCGCAGTGGGGTGGGGCAGGGAGGTCTGGGGTCATGGCGGGTATGGGGCGGGGAGGTTGTGGGACACAGCAGGGGTGCGTTGGGGAGAGGTCAGGGGTCACAGTGGGGTGGGGCAGGGAGGTCTGGGGACATGGTGGGGGTGGGTTGGGGAGAGGTCAGGGGTCACGGCAGGGGTGGGGGGGATGTCTGGGGTCATAGTGGGGTGGGGCAGGGAGGTCTGGGGACGTGGTGGGGGTGGGTTAGGGGAGGTCAGGGGTCATGGCTGGGGTGGGATAGGGATGTTGGGGGCCACAGTGGGGTGAGGCAGGGAGGTCTGGGGATGTGGTGGGGTGGGGAGGGGATGGCGGGGAGGGAGGGGTCAATGTGGGGTCACGGCAGGGTGGGGAGGCGGGAGGGCTGCACGTCAGGCTCTCGTGGGGACAACGATGGGGTGGGGGCAGCGCGGGTGGGCTGGGGGCACTGCCTTCCCCCCACAGCCCCTCTGCACCCCTCTTTGGGAAGGGCCGTGTCCCGGGGCAGATGCTCCCTCCAGGGCCAGGGGTGGGGCCAGGACCCACAGCTGTTTCCTCCCTTGGCTAGTGCCCATGCCAGACCTCAGGAGAAGGGGGCACCTGCCCCCAGCACTGCACCCCTGGGTGAAGGGGGACCTGACCCCCCACTGCACCCCTGGGTGAAGGGGGGCCTGCCCCTGCCAGCACAGCACCCTTGGGAGAAGGGGACCTGGTCACCCATAGCGCAGCATAGCCGGGGAGAGCGGGGCCCTGCAGTCAGGCCCCCAGCGGGGTGGGGGGCTCTGGGGGCCCCTCTCCGGCCCCATGGGGGCGGGGGAGTCCCGGGGCAGGCGTGGGACTCACCCGGAGATGCTCTTGGCGAGCCCAGGGAGAGCCGCTCCCGCGCAGAGGGCACCTTCAGGCGTGTGCCGGAGCTGGCGGCCGGCGGCCCCGGCGCGGGGAGCCTCCGTCAATATTTGGAGTGGCACCGAGGGAAGGAGCCGCCTGTCACCTCCCGCTGCTCCCGTCCCTCCCGCGGCCGCGACCTTCCCGAGTCGGCAGAGCCCCATAAAGCTCAGCGCCGGCTGCCTGGCTGGCGGGGCCGGAGCGGGGCGCAGGGAGCAGCAGCAGCCCCTCAGCCCCTGTCCCCACGCTGCCCGGCGGCCCCCCCATGGCTCAGGTAGGAGGGGGCAGGGCCCCCCGGCCGCAGTGCGGGGAGCAGCCACCTCCGGCAGGGGGTGCGGCAGCCTGAGCCACACGAGCTGGGCTGGGGGGTGGAGGGGAGAGGGGATGCGGGGCTCCATCATTGGGGGAGAACGAGACGCAGGGCTCCATCGCTGCGGGGATTGGAGGAGAGATGAGACGCAGGGCTCCATTACTGGGGGTTGGGGGGCTGGAGTGGAGAGGAGACGTAGGGCTCGGCGGCTGGGGGGGCGGAGGGGGAGACAAGATATGTGGGGCTCGGTCGCCAAGGGAGGAGGGGAGAGGAGACATGTGGGTCTCGGTCGCCAAGGGAGGAGGGGAGAGGAGACGTAGGACTCAGTGGCTGGGGGGGGCGAAGGGGGAGACAAGACATGTGGGGCTCGGTCGCCAAGGGAGGAGGGGAGAGGAGACATGTGGGGCTCGGTGGCTGGGGGGGGTGGAGCAGGAGACGAGACATTTGGGGCTCGGTCGCCGAGGGAGAAGGGGAGAGGAGACACGTGGGGCTCGGTTGCTGAGAGAGGAGGGGAGAGGAGACGTAGGGCTCAGTGGCTGGGGGGGTTTGAGGGGGAGACAAGACATGTGGGGCTCGGTCGCCGAGGGAGGAGGGGAGAGGAGACGTGTGGGGCTCGGTCGCTGTGTGGGGCAGAGGGGGAGACGAGACGTGTGGGGCTCGGTCGCCGAGGGAGGAGGGGAGAGGAGACGTGTGGGGCTCGGTCGCTGTGTGGGGCAGAGGGGGAGACGAGACGTGTGGGGCTCGGTCGCCGAGGGAGGAGGGGAAAGGAGATGCAGGGCTCGGTCGCCGGGGGGTGGGCAGACGGGGAGACGAAACCTGTGGGGCTCCATCACTGGGTGGGGGGTTGCTGCCCCAGTATGGCAGGCTGAGCGGGGACCAATGCTGCAGCCAGCCCTGCAGGTCCCCCCGGAGGGCAGAGACCTGTGGTCCCTCCTGCCGGGACTCCGGGGCACGAGGGCCCAGCCCTGCATTGTGGGGTCCAGAGGGGAGCTGGGGTGTCAGGCCCCCCCGGGGCACTGATCTCCCCCCCGCCGGGCCAGGCTGATCTCTGCCTGGCTGGGATGGAGCCGGTCACCGCTGCGCTCTGGGCCCCCACCGCACAGGGACTCCAAACCCCCGGGCAGGGCGGGCTCTCCGGGCTGCCTCGTGGGGCAGCGTCCGCCGGGCCTGGCACCTCGGGTACCGGCTGTGCGGAGCGTGTGACCGGCCTGGCTTCAGTGCAGCCAGCACTGGGCTGTGACCCCTCGGGGCCTGAGCAGGGGCTGGGGCTGGGGCTGGGGCTGGGGCTGGGGCTGGGGCTGGCTGGGGCGTACTTGGAAGGGAGACTCAGCAGGGCAGCCAGGCTGCTGCAGGGGACGCTGGGCTGGACAGGCTCTGGCCCGGCAGTGCTGGCCTCAATGCCCCAGTGCCGTTCGAGGGGCGCAGGGCTGCGGGGCGGGGGCTCGGCAGGGGCCGCTGGGCTGCGGGGCGGGGGCTCGGCAGGGGGTGGGGGCTGCGGGCTGCGGGGAGCGGGGGCTCAGCAGGGTGCAGGGGCTGCAGGGCGGGGGCTCGGCAGGGGGTGGGGGCTGCGGGGTGCTGGGCTGCGGGGCGGGGGCTCGGCCGGGGACGGGGGCTCGGCCAGGGGCTGTCGCGGCGGGGCTGCGGGGAGCGGGGCGGGGCCTCAGCAAGGGGTGGGGGCTGTGGGGAGACGGGTGGGGGCTCGGCAGGGGGCAGGGGCTCGGCAGGGGCGGGGGCTGCGGGGCGGGGGCTCGGCTGGGGGTGGGGGCTTGGCCGGGGGCGGTCGCGGCGGGGCTGTGGCGCTGATCCGGGGCATCTCTCGGCCCTGTGTTTCCCCAGCCGGAGGCGGAGGCCCTGGGCCCCAGCTCGCCCACGGCTGTGGAGGAGGAGGAGACTGACCTGAACAAGACGCTGGGCGTGGAGCGCTTCGAGGAGATCCTGCACGACTCGCACCCGCGCAACGGGGAGGAGGCCGGCCGGAGCTACAGCGAGGAGGACTTTGAGTGTGAGAGAGGGCGGGGAGGGGCAGGGCAGGGGGTCCGGGGCCAGCGCAGGGGCAGGGCACAGAGGACACGGCCTGTGGGGGCGGCCCCAGCCCGGTTCATTGGCTCCTGGGCGCCGGTGGGGAGATGCTCCGGCCTGGCAGCGTTGTGGGGCACCTGGGCCACGCTAGTGCCGGGCGGGCGGCTGACGGCATGTGGGTGCTGTGGAGGTGGGGGCAGCCCGGGGGCATGGTGTGGCGAGGCGGGGAGGCAGGCAGGGTCTGGCCCCAGCTCAGTGCCCATGCCCATGCCTTCTGTTCCTCCCAGATCACCGCCAGTCGTCCCACCACATTCACCACCCCCTCTCCACGCACCTGCCCCCTGATGCCCGCAGGAAGAAGGGGGGGCAGAAGGGCAAGAAGAAGCGGCGCCGGGCGTCCGTTCCAGGGGAGACTCCCACCATCGAGGAGGCGGAGGAGGATGAGGATGACACCTGTGACACGGAGCCAGAGCGGTCGGCCGAGGACCTGCCCGGGGGGATCCAGGTACAGGGCTGGGGGCCCAGCAGGGAGCGGGAGGGGTCAGCTAGAGCAGCGAGGGGGGCCCAGAGGAGGGGCTCTGGCAGCCAGGGCTGGGGCCACAAGGGCAGGACCCCCAGACCCTGCTGTCGCCGCCGGTGCCCCAAGCCATGTCCCTTCTCAGTTCTTCTTGCAGGAGGATGAGGCTGCCGAGCGCCGCCCAGAGGAGCCCACGACCCCAACGTCTCTGCCGAGCTCCCCCATGGAGCTGTTGGGGGCTGCAGTTACGGACCCCAAGGGGGCTGGGTGAGTGAGCATCTGGGGACCGGCTGCACGGAGCAGAGCGGCAGGGGTCTTGGCACAGGGGCATCTGGGCGCTGGGGCTCAAGGGCTCCTCGGCTGCTTGCGGTGGGTCTGGGCACTGCCCCAGGGGGCTGGTGGCAGGGCCCAGCCCGGGACCCCAGCTCTGAGGCAGGTGTCTGTTCCAGCCCCAGGGCCGAGGAGGACCGTGGGCCCGATGGGCCCAGTGCAGACGAGCCCAGCTGCCCAGGCCGCCCCGTTGCCAAGTCCCAGCTGGGGCACCGGAGCTACAACCTGAACGAGAGGCGGCGCATTGGCAGCATGACGGGAGTGGAGCAGGCCCAGTACCAGAAGGTGCCCACGGATGAATCGGAGGCCCAGACCCTGGCCTCGGCCGACCTGGACTACATGAAGAGTGAGTGCCCCAGGCCCTGGCCAGGGAGGAGGGGCGTGGGCCGGGGACATGGCCCCGAGCTGATCTGTGTGGATGGTGCAGCATCGGGGCACCAGCTGTGTAGGGCAGGGACTGTCTCTGGACTGGGTGTGTTCAGCCCCTGGCACAGAGGGGTGCTGGGGTGGGGTGGCCACGTGGGCACGATGGGAATACAATCAGTGGAGCTCCTCGCCAAGCCAGGCCAGGGGGAGCCACCCGCAGGCTGCGTGTCACCGGTACCCTGGGGGCCCAGGCTTCATGGGGGGGCCCCACAGCTTGACTGAGCCTCCCTGGTGGATCCCCTGTGCTGGGCCAGGGAAACTCGCTGCCCCCCTGGACACCCCTCTCCACACACACACACACACATTGCACTCATGCAGCACAGACAGGATGCCTCAGCACCACGGCCTGGGGCAGCCGCTGGGCAGCTCTGCAGCGTTTCCCCTGCAGGAGCTGGGCCTGGGGCAGCCGGACAGCTGGGGCAGGTGTGCGATCCCACATGCCCCTCCCGCCGGCGGGCAGCAACCAGCGGCTCCCTCGCCTGCGCCAACAGGAGGAGAAGCGGCGGCGGAGAAATGCCTCCAGCTTCCCCTAGCGCCAGGCTCAGCACCGCTGCCTGTCTCCCCGCAGGCCACAGGTTCGAGGACGTGCCTGGGGTCCGACGGCACCTGGTCCGCAAGAGCGCCAAGGGCCAAGTCGTGCACGTCAGCAAAGACCACGCGGAGCCGAGCGCCCGGCACAGGAAACACGACCGGCAGCCACACGAGGTGACTGGGGTGGGGCCACGGGGGCAGGGGATGGGGGGGCCACAGGGAGCAGGGGATGGGGGTCATGGGGGGGATGGGCACCGTGAGGGCCAGGGGATGGGGTTGCAGGGGCCTGGGTGCATGGTGGGGCAGGGCTGGGGAATGGAGTGCCATGGGGGGAAGGGGAAAGGTTTGGGGTCCATGGGGGGGCAGGGTCTGGGAGATGGGGTCCCATGGGGGGGCAGGGGCTGGGGGCTGGGCACTGTGGGGGCCGGGCTGTGGGCTGGGATCCGTGCAGGGGCTGGAGTACATGGGGGGCAGGGGCTGGGGGACGGGCACCAGAGGCACAGGGTCTGGCAGCCATCCAAGGGGACCCCAGCCCCACCCCCTGAGTCCCACGGACCCTACCTCTGCCCCGGCAGGTCTTTGTGGAGCTGAACGAGCTGGTGGTGGACAAGAACCAGGAGCTGCAGTGGAAGGAGACAGCACGCTGGATCAAGTTCGAGGAAGATGTGGAGGAGGAGACCGATCGCTGGGGGAAGCCCCATGTGGCCTCCTTGAGCTTCCGCAGCCTGCTGGAGCTGCGCAAGACCCTCTCCCATGGTAGGTGGGAGGGGTGCAGCCAGGGGTGGGAGGTCCCGGCCAGGCCTGGCTGCGGCTCGGGCGGATGGGTAGAGCGGGGTGGCACCTCGGCCTCTCTGCTTAGCCCTTGGCTCTGCCCCCAGGGGCCGTGCTCCTGGACCTGGACCAGAAGACGTTGCCGGGGGTGGCGCACCAGGTGGTGGAGCAGATGATCATCTCAGACCAGATCCGGGCTGAGGACCGCGCCAACATACTGCGGGCACTGCTGCTAAAGCACAGGTGACCTGCCCGCGCACCCTGGGGCCTGGAGAGGGAATCGCCCCAGGCTAGCGCCATGCGGCTGCTCACTCCCTGCTGGGGCCTGGCGTGGTCTCTGGGGCCTGGGGGAGGGAGCCATGTGCACACACCCAGCCCCCTGGGGCCTCGAGCCAAGTGCCAGGGCCGCCCGACTGTCCCACTGGCGAGTGCCTGTTACGCTCCCGGGCATCACTTGGGGCGAAGCCCAAGGCTGTGCTGGGGTGGTGGGTGCAGGCTCTTTGCCCCACCCGCACCCAGTCTGAGAGCAGGCTGCAGACACCTGCGGCCCGTCAGGGCCCTGGCCGGTTTGAAGGGGGCTCAGGGAGAAGGGAGGGGGAGGCGGCCCCCGCTGAGGTCTGTGCTAGCGGATGCTCCAGGGAGACCCCGAGTCCCAGCATGCAGCGCACTGGCCGGCCGGAGAATGGCCGGCCGGGGCCCAGAGTCCAGACCCTTCCCCTGGCTTCGTCCTGCAGCCACCCAAGTGACGAGAAGGATTTCTTCCCCCGCAACATCTCAGCCGGCAGCCTGGGCTCCCTGCTGGTGCATCACCACAGCGCCAACCACGTGGGCGAGGGCAGCGAGCCCACGGTCACCGAGCCCCTCATCGGCGCCCACCCTGCTGAACATGAGGCCAGGGTCGAGGTGGAGCGGGAGGTGAGTGGGGGCCTTGGTGCTGCGTGCCCGAGTACCCTCTTCCTGAGCCCCCAGGCCCCCCCGGGCCCTCTTCTGCCTTCCTGACCCCCCCCAGGGCCCCTTGTCCGCCTTCCTGACCTCCACGGGGCCCCTCATCCTCCTTCCTGAGCCCCCGTCCCCCTTCCTGACCTCCCCAGGGCCCCTCATCCCCCTTCCTGAGCCTCACCCCCACCAAGAGCTATTGCCCCCCCTTGCTGAGCACCACTGAAGCCCCTTGTCCCCTTTCCTGATCCACCCAACCGCCCTGTAATGATGTTGCCTTTGGCGGGACACTTCTGAGAGTGTCAATTCAGGACAAATTGCTTAGAGCAGGGCAGTTACAGCCCCAAACTGGAGTTCCTTTACTATTAAGGAAAACCCAACCAGCCAGCCAGAGAAGACTTTGGTTTTACCCCACTGGCTAGCCACAAGTCATACAAGCAATTCCCTTAGACACTCCCGTTTCCCAGTATCACCACCAGGGCCACTCATTATGGGGACGAATGGTTATGAAAACCAATACCCCAGTAAAAGAAGAAAGGTTCTCTCGATCCTGAAGGACCAAGCCCCAGACCCAGGTCAATATACAAGTCAGATCTTACCCACAAATCACGTGTTCCCAATCCTTTAGAATCTAAAATCTAAAGGTTTATTCATAAAAGGGAAAAGATAGAGACGAGAGCTAGAATGGGTTAAACGGAATCAATGACACACAGCAATGGCAAAGTTCTTGGTTCAGGCTTGTAGCAGTCATGGAATAAACTGCGGGTTCAAATCAGGTCTTTGGAGAACATCCCCAGCTGGGATGGGTCTTTCAGTCCTTGGTTCAAAGCTTCAGCGTAGCAAAGTCCCTCCAGAGGCAGGAAGCAGGACTGAAGACAAGATGGAGATGTGGCATCAGCCTTTTATAGACTGTTCCAGGAGTAAGAACCCCTCTGTGTTCTTACTGTGGAAAATTACAGCAGAATGGAGTTTGGAGTCACATGGGCAAGTCCCTGCATACTTTGCTGAATCGCAAGGTGTGTCTGCCTTTTCACAATGGGTCAATGGTATCGCTGATGGTTCTTAATGGGTCATCCAGCAGGCTGGGCAGAGCTGACACCAACTTGTCTGGGGTGGCACCCAGAAGCACAGCACACGTTTGAACTACAGACAGGATAGAGCCAATATTCATAACTTTAACTACAAAAATGATACCCACATATAGACAGCATAATCATAACCAGCCAACCATAACTTGTCAAAGGGCAGGTCTTCACTACCCACCCGCAGGTAGTGATCGATCTATTGGGGATTGATTTATCGCGTCTTGTCTAGATGCGATAAATCGATCCCCGAACGCGCTTCCTGTTGACTTGCGACGTTCTCACGGCCAGGTAAGTCGACCTAAGGTCCGCCGACTTCAGCTCTGCTATTCGCGTAGCTGAAAGTTGGGTATCTTAGGTCACCCCTCCCCCAGTGTAGACTAGGGCATAGACACCTTATTTGACCCCCCTTATACAAGATTTGGTGCCACTACAGGACCTTGGTTGCAATAATGATCTATACGGTCCCAGCTTATGTCAATAACATCACACTCCCATAGAGTAGTTCAAAGGGAGCGAACTCTGTAGACTCTTGGGGCACACTCCTGTATGCGTACAATAGATCCAGCAGCATAACATCCCTGTCATTCTGGTGTCTATCCATGTACATCTTCAACATAGACTTCAGGGTCCCATTGAACCTTTCCACCAGACCATTAGTTTGGGGGTGGTAGGGAGCAGCTTTCAGGTGCTTCACCCCACATAATTCCCACAACTGCTTGAAAAGCACAGACATAAAATTAGAGCCACAGTCAGACACTATTTCCTTGGGAAAACCCGCCATGCTAAAGAGAGAGAACAAGGCCGTTGCCACTGTCTCTGCCTCAATATTACACAATGCGACAGCCTCAGTGTATCTGGTAGCAAAATCTACCAGCACACGGATGTATTTCTTCCCATTCCTGGAAGGTTTTGGGAGTGGTCCCACAATATCCACAGACACCCTGGCATAAGCCTCCCCAATAATGGGCAGAGGCTGGAGGGGCCCCTTGCTAGGCCCCCTTAACCCCTTACGCTTCTGGCACAGTTCACAGCTCCTGCGGTACTCTCAGTGACCTTCAATAAATCGATCACTGCGATAACTCTCAGGTACCACAAGCTGTTTGCGAACTCCTGTTTGGGAATGCTTCCTTCCCCTAGGAGCCTCCCTATACAACAGCATGAAAAACCTGCCTCTCTTCACTAGCTGGGATCTGACTTTGAGCATCATTCCTGGCTCTCTCTAGTGATACATCACTCCGCTGGGCGATAATGAATTCCTTCTGAGTTTCATTTGAATTCAGAACCACCTCCGATATCTCAGACAAATCCTCGCTTGACTCAGCCTGAGAGACACTCTGTCTGTTTGCAGTCCTCCTCACTGCCATCAATTAGGGTATCTGCCACAGACCCAAACTCTCTTTGCAACCTGGTTACCACATTAACTTGGCCAGGCACCTTCAGTAGGTTATTTCCTACCAAAACATCAGCTGGAATTAAATCCCGGACAGCAGCCTTCACATCCCCTTTATGGCCATCCCACGCAAGGTGGATTCTAGCCATCAGCAGGTCCACAGAGTATTCAGATTGTGCCACTACCATCACATACTCCCCTGGCAACATGTCCTCTGGCTTCCCCAGATGTGCCTTAGCTAGAGTCACATCAGAGCCAGAATCTCGCCACCCCGTGCATTGAACACCATTGACCTTTGCCTTCTTAATAAACCGCTCACTCCCCTACCATGCCTCAGTCCTGACATAACTGGTGAGCTCATCACCTCCTCCCATGCCACTGCTGGGCTTGCCCCTGGACTCAAGGTGGTGCTATTGTAGCTTGGGTCAGCCTGGGGGCTCAGAGTAATGGAGTTGGCATTTACCGTGGCTTTTGGGGTTGGTGGTTTTGGGCTGGCCTTCAGGGCCAGGCAGTCTGGTTTCATGTGGCCAAGCACACCACAGTGATAGCATTTAACCTGTTTATTCTTGGGGTGAGAGTTCCTACCCTCTGGGCCCCCGTGAGCTCCTTTATAAGAGTCAGGGCCTGGTTTCCTTTCAAATCCTTCCCTTCTCTTGACCTGGGGAGAATGGTGATTAATTTCCCCCTGGGGTTAATACCCTTCCCAAGCCCTGTTTTGGGTATGGGCATCTGCAAATTCCGCAGCTTGTAGGACTGACTCAGGGTCCCTATCACACACAGCTGCTCTCACCTGGTCAGGCACAATGTCTAAGAACTGTTCCAAAGTTATTAACTTCAGCAGTTTTTCAAAACTCCCATGCGTCTTTGCTCCCACAACCCACTTTTTAACAAAACCCATCAGCTTATGAGCACATTCTACAAAAGTACCATCATTACACATTTTAAACTTTCTAAACTTAACCCGGTAAGACTCAGGGGTGACCTTGAATCGCCTTAACACAGAATTTTTAAACAGCACATAATCTAAGGCTTCTTGTTCCCTTAATTCATTTAATACTTCCCTGGCTTTTCCAGTCAATTTGGTCAGCAGGACAGGCATTTGCTACTCATCTGGGATCCCATGCAGAGCGCATAGATGTTCAAAGGTAGACAGAAATTCCGCTATGTCTTCAGTATCTTTGTAAATGGGACAGATCCTTTCCCAGTTTCTTTCGTTATGGCAGGGAAGCGTAGTACCAGGTGGCGATGACTTTCTCTGCTCTTCCAATACTTGGAGCTGAAGTCTGGCCATCTCCTGTTGCATCTGGCGAGTTTTCTCCTCAGCAGCCAGCAGCTCCAGATGCCCCCTAAGAGCCCGTTCCTCTCTCTCATCAGCCTCTCTTTCCAATTTAGCATTTCTTCCTTAGCTTCTTTCTGTCTCTCAGCAGCTTCTCTTTCCAATTCAGCATTCTTTTGCTTTTCCAGCAATCAAATATCTGGTAGTTTCTGTTTATGCTCAAGTTGCAGTTTATTTGCTGCCTTTTGCATTCTAATTGCTTCTGCAGCTTCTGTAGCGTCAGGTAAGGGCTGTGCTCCTGCCTCCTGATCACTGGCCATTAACCGATTTCTCAGTTCTTGATTTGTAGCTTTCTTTCTAAAGCTTATCCCCTTTTCTGAACACAAATCTTCCAGGGCTTTTTTGTCAAGGCCCTCATATGCTCTTTGCTCACCCACTGCAACTGCTCTTTAACCAATCAAACTCTCAATACCAAAGTTCAAATTTGGATAGCGTGGGGTTCTGACCCAAAGCTTAATTGACCTGGTTCTGTGGGTCCAAGCGTGACTACACCACGGTGACGATGCTGCCTTTGGCGGGACACAACTGAGCGTATCAATTCAGGACAAATTGCTTAGAGCAGGGAAGTCACAGCCCAAAGCTGGGTGTCCTTTATTACTAAGGCAATGTCAGCCAGCCAAACTGAGATGACTTCGGTTTTACCCCACTGGCTAACCAGAAGTCATACAAGCAATTCCCTTAGACACTCCCGTTTCCCAGTATCCCCACCAGCGCCACTCGTTATGGGGACGAATGGTTATGAAAACCAACAGCCCAGTAAAAGAAAAAAGGTTCTCTTGATCCTGAAGGACCAAGCCCCAGACCCAGGTCAATATACCAGTCAGATCTTACCCACAAATCACGCTGTTGCCAATCCTTTAGAATCTAAAATCTAAAGGTTTATTCATAAAAGGAAAAAGATAGAGATGAGAGCTAGAATGGGTTCAATGAAATCAATGACATACAGTCATGGCAAAGTTCTTGTAGCAGTGAAGGAATAAACGGCAGGTTCAAATCAAGTCTCTGGAGAATATCCCCAGCTGGGATGGGTCTTTCAGTCCTTTGTTCAGAGCTTCAGTTTGTATCATAGAATCATAGAATCATAGAATATAAGGGTTGGAAGGGACCCCAGAAGGTCATCTAGTCCAACCCCCTGCTCAAAGCAGGACCAATTCCCAGTTAAATCATC